CTCTGTCTTCAACACCTAGCATGAAGCCTAATGCCCACTACATGCTACATCCTAAGTAAATCCACTGATTAGGGAAAAAAAGAAAAAAAAATCACTGGGGTGTTTCTTACAGGTACTCTCTACTCTTCTGGAAGATTTATTAAGTCTCGGGAGGGGCCAGACAACCTGCTCTTCTAATGAGCACTTTAGGTAAATGCCAGTGTTCCCTGAAACACACCTTGAGAAATACTACCTAGATATTCAGAAAACAAAGGAATTCTATGATCATAGAAGTTTGCAAAACATGCATACATCCCCACTCCTCCTTGAAATGTGTAACTCATGGATTACATTAAAGGTTCTAACAGGTATTATAATAAAGAAGCTGGTGTAAAGCCACTTACCTCAGAATTTCCCCAGGGTTATCTGACCAGGAAACCTCTTCTGTCAGCACACCTGGAGGAGCAAGGGTTCCGAGGAACATCGTTTGGGAAGTGCTGCCATGGAGAGTATGTGTACCCCATGTTTCATCTCCTGTCTTCACTGCTTCTTCCTCAATTCCTATTAGCCCCAAAGAAGTCCTTTCTGAACTGTAGACATTCTCCTTTATTTTCATTAACCTTTCTCACTCTGCCCTTTCTCTTTCTTCCACTTGTGAGCCATAGTAATCTTACAGGTGGCTATTCACTGCACATGTACCTTACAGCTGGCTAGAGAGACACCTCTATCAAGGAAGAAAAGGAAATCCAAAAGTTTTGAATGAAAGTGTAGAGACTGAAGAGCCAATGCCGCTAGCTTACCATCCCAGAGTGCTGCACCTTACCTAAGAGCACTTTCGTTCTTACTTGCTTCTTGCAGCGGCCAGTGTACGAGTAAGTCAGGACTGATGTCATTCCCATTTTATAAATGAAGAAAATGAGGTTCAGAGAAGGCATGCAATTCACCCAGACCTGGAATGGAAACTGAAGTCCTCAGACTCCTATTCTTGGGCCCCTTCTCTATACCTGGCATCGTGATCCAGGCCATTCCACTGACTTCAGCTCCCCAAAGACTGTTAACTTTCTGGAGCACCTCCCCTGAGTCAGAAGCATATTGGCTACAAAAAAGGACCATGCCCACCGGCCTTCAGAGCCCCCGCACAGCTCCTGGGGATACTCCAGTCAGCTTCCTGTGCCTCCTGACCTTCCTCTCTAGTCAAACCTAAGGTTCTTCACCTACTGAAATAAAAGCCTGGTTTCATTCCTTTTTGTTTCCTGCTTTTATTTAAATTACAATACTGCAATGCCATTCTTTTCTACCTGTAATGATAAATGCCCTGCAATTTATCTGTATTATAGAATTAACAGGCTTTTGTGGGCTAACCTGGAAATCTTTATACAACACTGGAATTGAAACTCAACCCATCTCCCATTTCCCTCATAGAAACAACCAGCTCACAGAAGGGCCTTGGGAAGTGGATCCATTTGCACATTAAGAACCGCCTGAACACCTCTTCCAGGGGTGCCCCTGTCCCGTCTCATGTGCCACTGCAGGCCAGCAGGCCAGGTCAGGGGACAGGGTCCAGGTGTCCCTAGGCAGTCTCTGCAGGGTATTTCCCAGTTATCTGCTTTGCGCATTACTCCAGCAGTAACATGCCTGCACAGCCGAGCACCGGCTGAACGCTGAGCTGTCCCCACTGGTCGACTCTCCAGACCTGGTCACGCAGGAATTGCCCTTCAGGAGGAGAGAAGTGTCGCGAAGGGAGAGGTTCCGATAGGACAGCACCGCCATCTGCTGGCCTAGCTGGGAACAGCATGCCCCTGCTCAGGGCTGCCAGCCCCAACCCGCCTGACTGGTGCCTGTATTGACACAAACTCCTTCCTGATCAGGGGAGGATTTCCTCCAGCAAATGACTGTGTTTCACCAAGGGCTTTTCACTATTCACACCCTTCTGCCCTACTGTGCCTACACTGGCATCTCCCCCATCCACATTCTCCCTTTCCACACATACCAGTTCCTTTTCCTTCCCAGCATCCCCTTGCTCACAGTCTCTTGAGTCCTTCTTAGTCTTTCTCCCGGGCTCCTTCAGCGTTTTCTGGCTTTAATGGTCCTAGAATCCCTCAGAATTCTAAGTCAAAAAGCAAAGCGCTTGATGTCACGTGACAAACTCTAGGGCCCTACTCCCAGAGGAAGCCACTGTCAAGAACAAACAGCTCTAAACTCTGCTGCGAAAGGACCCCTCCCTCGTCTTTACCACCCAGCCCCTCAAATAATTTTGATTCTTCCTCCTGAATATCTTTTTAATCTGAGCCTTCTCACTTTCCCACCATTTCAGTCACAGGTCAAAAGAGCCATTACCTATTGCCTATGCAAAACCCTAAACCCCTCCGTGAATCTCCACCCTTTCCCCAAAACCTCTCAACAACTCATGACCACTCCCTGTCCTGCACCAGACCAATCTTTCCAAAATACAAGTCTCCCTGCAAGAGTCATTCCAAGGCTTGAACGCTTCTGAGTGGTCTCCACTGTCCAGCTCCTTCATCTCAGCAGTTTTCTCAGGCGTGGTTGCAAGTTAGAAGCCCCTAGCTTTAAAAAGATCAGATGTACAGTTCTCAGCTGAGAGCGGCTGAAGCCAAGTCTCTGGAAAGGAGGCAGGATCTGGCTATCTAACAGGGCCTCAGATTTTGATGGGCAGGGAGCTGAGAAGCACAGCCCTCACAGGGCCAAGACGAGTCCCTGCCCATCTCTCTCTCCAGCTGGGCTCCCCACCAACCGTCCTCACTCCACCAAGAAACCGCCCTCTCCCCAGGAACACACCACACTCTTTTTCCCATCTTTGCCACCAAGTTTCCTCTCTGAGGTGTCCTGCCACCACAGGCAAACTCCGACTCATCCTTGCAGACATCACACCCGTGAGGCTTCTTCAGCAGGAGAGGCTGCTCCCAGGGTACCACGCACACCCCTGCGGACCCAGATTCCCCATCTCACCACCCACTGTCATGGTTTGTCCCCACAGTGGTCCCCACCGCACCACTCGCTGCTCCAGGGCAGAGCCCGCATTCTGTCCACCTCTGCCTGCTATTGTCTTGCATGGAATGGGCAATGGCTCAGAAAACTATCACCCACTTTTGATATTTCTGTCCTCACTTCCATCCTAGAGCTTGGCTTACAGCCCATCCTTTCTGTGACAGCTTTTGTTCCTCCCGCTTGTCCTAAAGGGTGAGAATCACCCCTTAAGCTTCAAAACCCTGAAGGCTCATAATCTGACTCTTAAGAAAAGTCTTTACCCTCTGAAATGCAGGTTTATCCAGAAACCCATTCCTGGGGCCCAGATTCAGTTACCAGAGCAGGAGCCACCAGAGCTGGTTATGTTAATGAAGTTAGGCGTGGAGGTTTAGGGCTGGAATGTCTCCTCAGTCAGATAAACATCCTTGGGGGACAAGCTCCCTGCCCCCCCACACCCACCGTCCTCCTCTGTCCCAGGAGAACCTCTGCGGGGCCACCTAAGGTTCTCTCTGCCTGTCCCTCCAGCCAGCAGAGGTCCTAAAGGCAAAGGAATGCAGGAAACTACCCCTTTCCCCAGAAGGCCTCATCTTGGCCAGTGGTGGAGAAATGCTACAGAGAACATGGCTTCTGTCATGGATGCCCCTGCACCTGAGCTGCTCAGAGCGGTCCTTGTCCAGCAGCAGCTCCCAGCCCAGATCTGCAGAGTCAGAGGTGTGGAGATGGGGCCTAGCAACTTGTGATTGACAGAGCACATTTTCCAAGCATGTTAGAAGTTGAGAAACATCCCCCACCATGCACTGCCCCAGCTCTGAATCATCCCAGGGTTTGACCCATTTGCAAAGGAGACCCTTCTTTTCCAGAAAGACTATGCCCACTATGATGCACATGGGCTCCTGTGTCACCAAAGTGAGGACCATCTGTGCCAACAGACAAGAGGAATCAGAACCAGGGAGTGGTACGGAAGGACCATTAAGGCAGACAGGGAGACAAAGATGGATCAAGACTAAAGAAATCTGGCAGGTCTCCACCAACATCTCCTCCCCGGGGAGCCCTGCACAGTCAACACCTCCAACACCTGTCTCTACCTCCCTCTTTTAATCCTGTAGTTTTCTTCCACAACTCTTAACCACTTCTTAAAATTGTATGTTTATTTGTTAGTCTCCACCTGTGGAATATAAGCACAAGGGCAGGAACATTGTGTTTTGTTCATTTTTATAGCACTAGTGTTTAGAGTAGAAATTGGCACTTAACAGGGCTTACTCGATATTTATCGAATGAATGAATGAGTGAGTGACTGAATAAATGAAAGCTCACACACTCCATTAGCACAAGGATGGTGTCTGGCTTGCTTACCTCTGTGAGCTCACCTCTGTCCCCCATGTGCCTGGCATACTACCTTGTAAGAAGCAAGCAGACAGATTCTCATTAAATCAATGAACAGTGTGCATGCACATCTTTTAATGATCAGCGCCTACCCTGGAACCATATTCAATTCAGACCACCCATTATCAGATCTAGGAGGCACTACGGCATTGCTCAAGCGTGTTCGGAGATGGGAGGAGGATGCTGAAAACTTTAAAGGTTGACAGGAACTGTTTTGAGAGCATGGCTTGGCTTTCAGCCAGAGGTTAAAACATGGAGAGCCCAAGGCAATAAACAACACCCAGGGTAGAGGGGGGCTGCAGCTTTTAGGGCATTTGCCTGCCTTCCCACTCACTCAGTTATCCGGGTTCCAAATGTCATTATTTGCCATCATTCAAGTAAGAGACCACAGCCAACAGAATTCCATCATAATGCACAAATTGGACCTTCTCTTGCACTTAGGTTAAATTTAGATTTCAAGTGCACTTCTGTGGGGAAAACGACACAAGGCAAATTTTTCTTAATCAAGTGGTTTCTTTTTTTTTCTTCCTTGAATAGGATTTTAAATTACTTATGGTCACAGACTTTGCTACAGAAAAACCTTCCAAAGTGATAGGAAAATAAGCTCAAAGGGTGACCTTGCCAGGTCTCCATTCAAACACTACGTTTTGGTGCTGAGCACCTTCAAGCCCTGAAAACCCCGAGATCCAGCAGTGCGGGGGGCCGGGGAGAGGAGGGAGGCTGAGGACTTGACGGCATGAGAGGGAATCCCAGAAAAGAGTCTTTGGGAGGAACCAGTTATCAAGAGACTCAAAGTATTTAAAGTTGAAATGAGTGAGAATTTATTCACAACATATGCAGATCTATGAAAGTGATTATGCAAATAGTTGGAAAGGGGGCACTTAAAAATAGCAGCAATGTGGAAGCTTTGGTTTCCAGCACCCTGGATACTAGTCAGAACTTAGCTGCATGTGAATCCGTCTTGGTCTCTTTGGGTCCCCTTATTCTTCTTCATAATGCCAGCATGTTCTTAAAGAAAAGGGGGCAGATTTACATCTTTTTCCTCAAAGCCCAGTGGAAATGGGAGGTGACAAGCATCAGGCTACCTCAGCCCCTTGGTCATCAATGAGAACTCCTTTAATGCTTCTTTATAAGGAGGAGACTTGTATTAGCAGAGCTTTATATAGATAGATAGATAGATAGATAGATACCAATTTCCAGAGATTTCCAAATCAGCAAAGTACTAAATGATCCTTTTCTTCTTCTTCCTCTTCTTTTTTTCCCCCCCCTAATTCTGCATATTTGTTACTGAAGACAGACTGAGAAATTCTGCAGTCCCAGTACTGGCTTCCCATATACTCTGTGCAACTTCTATGGTGCTGATTTTCAGGCCCCCAGTATGAATGGGCAAAAACGCAGGTGACGGGAAGTAACCTCTGTTGTTTGAGGCTCGGTGACATACTTCATCCTGTAGGTTATCCACCTCAGAACCAGAGCTATAAGCATACTTCAAACTCCCATTAACCAGGCGCCACCCCCACCCCCTACCCAATACAAAGCCCCAATCCCCGGGCTGCAAATAGGACTCAGAGGACTGCTCAAACTGCCCATCAGAACGTTCTCGAGTTTTCTCCCAGTGTCGGCTTCTTTCTGTCCAGGACATGCTCCGTGCTGTAGCCATGAGGGCGGATTTTCAATTCCACATAAGGAATGGAGAATTCATGTCCTTTCCACGGCTCCCAGTTCACCCCCTACATAAAAAAGCCAACATCAAGAAGAGGTGCTTGGGAGGAGGGTGAGGCAGGTCACAGTACAAAGGAATGCTTCCTTGCTAGGGAAACCACTCCCTCTCCGCTTAGAGGAAGGGAAAGAGGGGCAAGTGGTGACTGGAACAGTTATGACCAGAGGAAGGGCAGACGCTGGAAACATGCGCCCTCTGCTGGGCAGCTGAGTTTGAGAGGCTGCCGACTTGGAGGCCCCTATGGGTGGGGCTGGGGGTGGGGGTTGAGCCCAGTGGGTGGGTGAGGCCGGAGCAGCAGCTAAGGTAACACAGCGCCCACCTGGCCAGCAATGATCAAATTACCCTGGCCTCACTCTTGTTCTTTCCAAAAAATTAAAGGCAAAAATAAACATATTAATTGGCCAATTGTGTAAAATCATTTTCAATTTAGACTGTTCAGATATTAAGTCTGGGGTAACGAATAGCCTGCTGAAAACTAAATTTCATTTTATGTCTTTTGACTGGTGATCGCAATAATATTTAATTCACTTAATAACCTTGCAACCTGGCCAATAAAGAGCCCAAGTGACCAATTTTATGTATTTTAATTTGTGAAGTAAATAATAAACAAGAAGCTAAATGCCTTGCAGACTGTGAAAAGCACATAAACCAGATGAATGTCTTTTATTAGCAAATATGGGGATGGTTTAGGGCATACTGGCTGCTCATTTCAAATATCTGATCTCTGATCACAGGCTTCCCTGAGTCAGCCCCCATGCAGCCGGATGATTCATGGACCTACCCTCCTTGGCTTCCCTGGGGGCAAATTTCTTCTTCCCTTTGAAAAATTACATAAGGATTTGGAAGTCCTGCTGCCTCGTCAGGGCCACAGTAACCAAATGTACCTGGACTTTGGATGTGCTGATATTTGCAGTAACATCAGTACAAGGTGAGTTCTGGGAGAGGCGGCCCCCAGAAGGCTGGGATCAGGATCCAGGATGGGAAATTACAAATCCAGGATGGGGACTCCCAGAGTTCATGGAGGGGATGGATTACTGAAGAGTAGGAACAAAGATGCAGTTTTCAAGAAGCTGTGAGGCAGCAGGTGAGAGATGCCTGGTAGCCGGCACTGAGTCAAGATGATGTTCTTGGGCCACGCAAGTTTGAGAAATCACTGGTAGGAGAGTTTCAGAGCAGGGGAGGTGAGGGGAGCCCTTGAGAACTCTCAGCCCTGTGGGCACACTCCTGAAATGGGGACACTGGTTCAGCACAATGCTCTGCACTGACTCTCACTGGCTCTGGAGGAAGCAGATCAAGGGTGGGTCTGACCTAAGGCAGAAAAGACTCTGCTTTCCTGGTGATCAAAAGACTGAAGAAAAACAGCTCTGGTTTAACTAGGAGAACAACTAGAAAGAGTTATGAAATGTCTGTTATGGATGGAATGTTTGTGTTCCCCTAAAATGCATATGTAGAAACCCTAATCCCCAATGTGATGGTATCTGGAGGTGGGGCCTTAAGGAGGAACTGGGTTTAGATGAGGTCATGAGGGTGGGGCCCCCATGATGGGATTAGTGCCCTTTTAAGAAGAGGAGGAAACCTGAGCTCTCCCTCCATTGTGTGAGGACTCAGTGGAAGGACAGCTGTCCAGAAAGAGAGCTCTCACCATTGAGCCCCAGAACTGTGAGAAATAAATGGCTGTTGCTTAAGTCACGCACTCTGAAGTACTTTCTTATAGTCATCTGAGCTAACTAAGGGTCCCATGTAAACTAGCAAAGAGATGGTATGTAGCCCATACCACAGGTCTCTATTCAGCAGTGGACCACCTGAGCTCCCCCCACCACACACGGTAAGCATACAGTAAGTGCTGGCAGGGATGCAGAGCGGGGCTGCCACAGATGGGCAGAGAGGGCCTTGAAGCCGAGCAAAGAGGCTCTCTCACCCTGACTGAAGGCATCAAAAAGGTGGGGTAGAACAGAAGGTGTCACTTTGGGGACTGAGTGTGGGCAGAACCTGGGACAAAGAAGTTCACCTGTCACCTACCTCACTATGCTTGGTCTCCCCGTATCTGCCATTGGGGTTGGCCAAGTGGCAGTTCTTGTACCACCAGCCGCCATGATGTGTCAGGGCACAGTTGCTGAGGGCGATATCGTTGTCTCTGTCAAAAGTTGTAAACTTCCATCCGTTGTGATAAGTAAGAGCATCCCCTGCAGGAGAGAGATGAGAAGTGCAAGCCCCGGCTTTGCCCCTGAGCTGGTGGGAGCCCGGCTCCAAGGAAGACTCAGCAGGAAGCCTTTGGAAGCGAGCCCACCGAGGGTCCCATCAGCCAGGGCACTCTTCTCTCAGAAGGGCCAAGATGAGGACACGACATAGGCCAACAGTGTCTTTCCCAGCCAGTCACCCAGCTTCAGGCCTGTTTCTCCAAAAGCCTCAACAGTATTTGTGAAATACGTAAGGATCAAACTCTTCAACCCCCCACACAGTACCTGAGCACCCCTCACTCAGCTGGCCGGCTCCCAGCCTCCCTGCCTCGGCTCGGCCATCCCCCCAGCTACCCAGACTCGAGCTCTGAGCCACATTGGGCAATCCTGGCATGCCCCTTATCAAACCATCGCCTCTCTGCAGATCACCTGGAGCGCCCCCTGCTCCCACAGCTGCCGCCCTGGGCCTGGGTTCACACTGCAGCCTTCCCAGCCCTTCTGAAGCTCAGGCATCTGTTTTCACCCTCTCAGACCTAGCGTCCTCCTTCCTCCCATATAAGGGTGATCACTCCCCTTGCTTGGCAGGCCTGTACCTTGGTTGCACCCTGGGCACGACCTCACAGCCTGCTGTCCCAGGCACCCTGCCTGCAGAGGAGACAGGCCCACCTCCCATGCCTCTGCTTTTTCTCGGCCCACACCCTGACCGATTCTCAAAGCCCAGCCCTGAAGAAGAGTCTCCTTATTGATCCTCCCCCACACACACTTGAACTCTAAGACATACATACAATTTAGTGCCTCATACACCCTGTCTGGAATCCACTTTAATTAATTACTTCTATTTCTATTTCTCCATCAGTCTTGTCATTCTTTCATAAGCTGATTTTTTAATTCAGCTCAAGGGGCCATAAAGGCCCATATCAATCCCAAGCTTAACCAGGTTCTGTTTCTACAAAAACAATGCCAACATTTACATCTGAGCTCTGAGTTATGATCATCTCCACACATATATGCTTATTGGTACCCTCACAATAAGCCTGCCAGGTGGGCTGGGCAGCTTTTAGTCCCTTAAGGACACAAATTCACAGAGGTCTGACCCAAGGATTTGTCAAGGTCACAAACAGCAGAGCCAAGACTCAAATCTTGTTCCTTGGATTCCAAGTCCAGGGTTCTTTCTGAGTCACCAACTTGCCTACAGCGTCCTTATTTCAACACAGAACTTGCATTATGCCAGCAAGAGCAAGCCATCTCCTTCAGTCCACAGCAGTGGCTCTCAGAGGGGATCCCTGGTCCAGCAGCTCAGCATCACCTGGAAACTTGTTAGAAATGCACATTCTCAGGACTCACCCCAACCTATAGAACCCAAAACTGCACTCTGTGCTTTAACATCCAAAGGGATGACAAGAAGCAAGCTAAAGTTTGAGATCTTTTGTCCTGTGACTTCACTCGTTTCTTCGGGAGTCCTCAGGATGCCTGCTCTGGCCCAACACCACGCTAGCACCAGGGAACACAAAGAAGGCCCTTTGTCTCAAGAGCAGGTAAGTAAAGAATTGCCAACACCTTGTGAAAAGGGAGGGTCCCAATTTGTCCCTCTGATTTAGCAGCTTGAACAGCAGCTCCTCCATGCCTCACAAGCACCGGAAGACCGAGCACAGGGCCAGGTAGGCCACTCCCGTGACGGCACACCTAAATGACTCTGCTCCCATGGGTTTGTCCAATGGAAGAAAGGCACACTGTCACTCTATTCACACACATTTCCTCCTTGCAGAGAGTTAACTTTGGCTTAAAACCACACACGATGGCTTTCTTAATGATCACAGCTTACCTAACTTGCAAAGAGAGTTCCCAGAGCTATTTTTTCAGAATCTGTGCAGAGGCTGCTGCTTAAAGATTCATTTGTGGTTATCCAACCTTGGGCACTGGGATAAAGAAAGATGAAGAGGCTTTAGCTTGAGGGTGGGGGTGTTACCTGCAGATGGATTTTCTCTCTTTCTCGGCCATACTGAGGTCCGGAGTATAGACACTGAGTATACTTGTAAATCAAAAAATAACTTTTCTCTAGTCATCAGGCCCCAGCTGGGACAGTATTCTGATTTACTGAGTATATCTCCTCTAAGTAAGATAAAGCAGAAAAAACAACTGTGGCTAGACAACCTCTCTTTTATAGGGGTTTTAGAAGAAAGCATCTGATGAGAAATAAGCAACCCTCACTTCTAGTACAGTGACTCTGCGGGGGATGCTGGGTGTTCCCAGGAGGTGGTTTGGAGGGGTTGGTAGTGGCCCAGAAAAGCCCACTGTGGGGCCACCAAGCTGTCATCCATCTCATCAAAACATCACACTGAGATGGAACTCTTCTCCTTCCTGAGCCAAGAAAGATGACCCAGCAGCTGAGCCACCTCAGCCCAGGAGCAGCCACCCACGCACACACCTAAGCTTCACTCACCCACAGCGTGTCTGGGCCTTGCACATCTTCTACCCTGGGACCAGGCATGGGCCAGTGATGGAGTGGGTGGTGCCATCTCTGGGTTTGCCTTTTATCCTCATACCTAACAAGTTTTTCTCTCTTTTCTACTTAGGACCAGTACTGAAAAATCTGCTTCAAAGCAAGGATGGTGCTAGCATTTGGGTAGAACAATTCTTCCCTGTGGTTCTTTAGTACGCCTGGCCCCAGCCCTCTAGATGCTGGTAGAGTCCCTCAGTCACATTTGCAAGTGCTGCAGGGTGGCCCCACCCTTGGTTAAGCCCTGCTGAGTCTGCCGCAGGTGGGACTTGGAATCAGCTGTGAAAGTAGACGTCATTCTGCACCAGGCCAAACATCTATTTATGTTTTCAATATAATCACTAAAGAGATGAATGGCATCTTGAAGGTAAAGCTCATGAGATGTGCCTCCACTCCAAGATTCAGAATCAGAAACTAAATGTATACAGCATTGCCCTGCTGGAGTCTTCCTGCGTTGATGAACAATGGGCTTTCTCTTATGACTCCAGGGAAAACAAAAGTTGAGGGGCCACCGAGTCTGAGTAGAGGAAAACTCTTAAACCATTTAAGGACTGCATGTCTCTAATTCTAATCAGGGTGGTAACAGAATTAAAAGCTGGAGGAGGGGCTGGCGTGTGCACAGAGATACCAAAATGTTCGCCTTCTGTTTGAATGCCCTGTCCTCTAAACAGTATCTCATCATTTAGAACACAAGCAGCCAGGAGCTTCCTAAATTTCAAAACCGTCCTCCGGGAACCAATCAGCATATACAAGGAAAGATACAGCTCCACTCACCCCAGTCCTGTAATTCTGAATGTAAAAGTAGGAGCAATGATACACATGGGAAGACTGAATCGCTGCCTAAATGCCGTGTGGTCTGAACGTCTCCCAAGGGTTCCTATTAAAAAATGCATCCTCCACTGACCGTCACTGAACAACCTCACAATAGGAATTATCCCCTAATCACAGTTAAAATGCAGATGGAGTATCTGGGAGGAGAATCACATTAATTCACGAATATGTCGACTCCCTTTCACTCATTTTCCCATTAGCATCAGTTCATTTAGTGCATTATTTTAAGACAGGCTGCTAGAAAGGTCCATTTCAATGCTAGAGGAAATGGGAATAGGAGACCTGGGAGGCAGGCTGGAGTGAGGTTCGTGGCCAGGGGGGTGGTGAGGGTGCTGCCATCAGGGAGAGAGGTGGGACATGGGCCAGGGGGGCCTCCTAACTCCACAGTTGGCCTGAGGAAGGTCCCAAGGAGGGAGTCACTGAAGACAGACACTCTAGCCTGAGAAAGGAAGGCTAACTGATCACCATGGTCAAGAGTGAACAGGTCACTGGAAAGAGAAGAGGACCAGATATTCTCCAAGTAGATGGAGGCCAGAGCAGGAGGGGGCGGGTCTGAGGGACCCTGCAGCGCAAGCCTCTCTGCACTGAACAGTTGGGAGGTCCTGGGGCCAGCCACTGAAAATGGTCCAATCTTATCTACAGCTGGGAGAGCAGGGCCACCAGAGTTCTTAAATCCTACAAACGGCCTCTATAAATCCCCACGTTCAGTTATATCCTTAAAATCACATGAATGTCCACCTGCATTTCCCAACTGTATTTTAACTGCCTTGTTTCTAGGCCTAACTTCTGTGCTTTATACTATCCTTGCAGTGGATGTAGATAGGGTCCATGCTAAGCACTTGCAGAATTCATGTGATTTTTTTCTTAAATCACAAGACCTGAAAGAAATTTTGCACTAGCAGTTGGCAGCTTCAGATCATGGCCCAGACACTCAGAAGTGTCTCTTCACAGTCCTCAGCCTTCAGGGGGTTCTTCAGTGGACAATTTTGAGAAGGCCTGCAAGGCTTCAAGAGTCCAACCCCATTTCCTGGGCCTCAGCTCAGCCCTTGCTCAGTGCTGGATGCCTCCAGGCCTAGAGTGCCCTTCCTTTCTTCCCTTCTCAGTTCTAACCTTGAGAGCCCACTGAAGCCCACCACCCCACAGGAAGCCCCCTTTAATTGCCTCAGCCCCTGGCGTGCTCACCTCCTCCACACTCCTGCAGCTCCTTATTCTCACCACATACTTGATTTCACAGAACTTATTTGTATTACCATTTGTCTGTTCACATGTGAGTCTAAGGGGAGAGCCCCTTACCAACGTCTTATACAGTCATTCAGTCAGTTTGGCTGGTAACTCATTCCTACCTAGTTACACAGAAGTCAAAAACATGCAAAGCCAAACAGACTTACTGGGCTAGGGTTTTAAAAACTGTAAACACAGGTTTAAAATATAATATTAAAGTAATAACTGCCCCTCCTCTCTTAAATAAAATATTCAATGGCATAATCCCAGTACTTCAGTCATGTTGCTCAATTTTGTTCTTTTCCTTCACAACTGAACATACCATCAACTGGCTTAACTCCAATGAGCAGCTAATTGAGGCTAGGGATGGCTCGCTGTCAGCTGAACTGCTAATTTCTGTGTTGTCACAGTTGTAAGAAGTTAATGAGATTCACATATCCTATTGTTTGAATCAGCACTTTCATTTTTCTGTCTTTACTTATGGCAAAGTGCCACAAAATATTTAAATGTTCACACACACACACACACACACACACACACACACACACACAGTGGTGCAAGGATGGCGCCACACCCCTGAAACTGAACGAAATGGGGACAGGCACCATGCAGTTGCTCAGAGCATGGGTTCTTCAGCTTATGTAGCATAGCCCAAATCTGGGGAGTGTAAGAGGAGGGTTTTTCCTGGTGGAGGGGATGGATGTATAACGCACAAAAGTTTCCATTTTATGGTGGTCAAGGATTGTTTCAACGACTCTCCTCACCCCAACCCCCTGCAGGGAGCAAGGCCTTAAATGCCAACAAGGACAGCTCAGCTTTGCGGAACAATTTTCCATGCCCCAGACCATGGCTTGTGGCAAACCGATCTGTAGTCACACAGACAGCAAGGGACTCCAGCAGGACGAGACGCTTTTCCTTACCTGCCGTGCCTCTGTATTGCCCGACCGTGAGCTTGTACCTCTCCTTACTGGAGGCCACTTGGAAGAAATCATATATGGCATAGGCGGATTCGTTGGCAGTCTGCAAGTCCACTCTCACCTCATACCGGGCAGGAGAGCCAGTGGTGAGGCTGTGTAGCTTGTCAAGTCCTAAAAGTAGGGAATAGATTTCCAGCAGCCAGTTAGCCGACACGTGGGAGTGCTCACCACCGGCACACGAGCCTTTCAGCCCCGCAGTCACCCTAGCCTTCACCTCCACGGCCAGCAGGAGCCCTCCCCACATTGCCTCTTTCGCCTGCTCATTTTCTCCTCTTATTTTCCTTGAGCACAGTCGTGCTAACGAGTCTGGGAACCATGTCCTCTGGGAGGGAGTAGTCGGGGTGACCCTGGGATGAACGTGGCCCCATTGACTCCCCCCCTCTGAAGCCTGGGCAGCTCTATTCAGGGCCCGTTTGTCTCACCACGTGGGGGGAGGCCCCACGCCTCACTCTAAGGTCTCCGAAGAGATTTGGTACCACGTGAACCACAAGCATCTTCTACTCTATCAGACAGTGAGAGTCCCTGTTATGATTTTTTAATGCTTCATTTCCCAATTGATGTATTTGGCTTTTTCACTCTCTGTGAATTTCTGCTCAGAATAGAGCAGAAGGAAAAGGAAAAAAGTAATGACGGGCATTACTAGCAGAATTTAGGGACTATTTCTATAACCTCCCAACAACAACCCAAATCCCAACTGAGCAACTATTTTTGTCTTCTGCTTTCTGAGAAGCTCGGCCCCAGGCAGCTGTTATGGGGCTTGGACGCAGCATAAAGAGCAGCTGTGGCAGGCTGGCCCCTCCCAAGCGTGGAGCACATGAAGGCCTCCCAGCCACGTGCCCCACCCACACACTGCTCGGTGGGTTGCTTGGTGTGCCCCTGCCACTTGGACCTCACCCTGAGTGCGGTGAGCTTCCCTGAGCAGCCTGACCAGCTTTCTGAGGGAGACATCTCCCCTCCACAATCAGCCCTCCTGGATTCTCAGGGATCATACCGAGCCAGAACTCCTTCATAGGGTCCCCGAAGCCTTCCACGTAGGTCCGCCAACGCTTGAAGAAATCCAACTGCCCCGTGTTCCGCCGCTGGAAGACCTGACGAGAGAGAGGGCTGTCTGGCGCCGACACACTTGAACAGACATGACTGAGGGAAGGAGGCTGGCAGCAGGGCCTGGAGGCTGCCATGACGGGAGACAGAAGGTAAATCTGGCAGATGCGGTGACACCTTGACAGTGGAACCAGGAGAGAAGGAAGCCAAGGAAGATTCTTGGGGCACCAGATGCAATTCTGAGATGGGGGCTTTCAGAGAGGACAGGTTATGTGAATGCACGTGAGCTCACTGGGGACACGGTTAGTGTGAGTCACTCCTGAGTAGCCTGGTGAATGAAGATGCCATCAGAGAGGCAGGATGTAAGAGCTCGAGTTCTAAAGAGACTTAGGCCACACCTATGAAGGTGAGGGCGTGTCTGAGATGATGGTAGGTGTTCACCAAGGCCCATTCCACACTCCCCGGGCACACAGGAAGGCTTCCTTTTCCATCCTCCCTGCAGTTAAGCTGCAGCCACGTGACTCGTTCCCGCCATAGGACTGTAATGGGGAGCACAGGACGGGGGCTCTCCGTGCTTTCCTCCATGGCACACACCACGGTGCGTTGGTGATGGCTCTGTGCAGCCAAGGCAGAGCCGCACGTCGGAATCAGCCTGCACCACTGAGTCACCACTTAGAAGGGACTGCCAGAGACAACTTTGCCACAGGAAACATGGTTTATGTTTTCATACCGTGGAATTTGGTGTTGAAATTTGGTGTAGAGGAATACAGCCCATAGAAAGACACCAGGACAGAGAGAGGAAAATAAAGCCATTGGAAAAGGATGAGACGACCTTGGAAGAAAACAGACAATGAAAAGAGAAAATGGCCTAGAATCAAGCCTTGAGGACCTCCAGTATAAACCAGCCACATGGGGACGGGGTCCAGCAAGGAGCAAGCAGAGACATAGAAGGATGGTAGGAAAACGTGCAATCACCAAGAGCACGAGGAGGAAGGGGCAGTCAAGGGGGGAGATGCTGAGGAGAGGCTGAGGAACGTGTCTATCCCGTCCGTAGGCATTAGTGACAAGGAAGTCAGTGGTGACCTCGGCCAAGGCTGTGTGACTGAGAGATGAGGGCAGGAGCCTCAGTGCAAGGGGTGGACGAGTGAGACCTGAGGACACGGAGGCCGAGCTGCATACTGTATCATGGGAGTATGTGTGGTTTTACTTTCAAAAGGTCCTCTATTTGGGGAAGGAAAGCAGCTCCAGTCAGAATAAACTGGCTTCTTTTACACAAAGTAAGCCTAAAACATACCCAAAAACTAAGCACTCAGAGTTTACAATTAGAAATGACACTGCATATAATTCCTCATGACTCTGAGAGCCATGCTAAACAAACAACATCTCATCTAACCTCAGAAAGGAGTCCGGAGTTCTGGAAGGCAGGAATCACACCCTTTTCTCTACCTACTTCCCTTTTTATTCATTCAACCATAGAAGCCCCAACACAAAATCCATCTCCCTTCTTTCCATCATGCTTCATAGCATGTACTATAAGTAAAATACACTATCTTGAGTTTGGTAAGATAAATCTCCTAATATTTGTGCACCCTTTACATTTTTCTCTGGGGAAAGAGCAGGCTGCCTGCAACAATGCTGGAAGCTCTGTGTGGGAGCTCACATTTAACTCCTTCTGAAGCACCATCCTTGTTTGCTGGCCCACTAAGGCATCAGTGTGCAGGGGAAGCCCTAAGCTCTCAGGCAGAGTGTGGCCACCTCCTGGCAGGGGGTTGGTGAGCCCATCATTTCTATGACTGAGCCTGAGTCAGTTCACTGACAAACAGGGTTAGAAGCAGGAAGGAAGTGCCTGCCTCCGAGGTGCTGGGAGAACTAAGCAAGATGGTGCGTGTACAGGTGGGGCAGGAGGGGTAATGGCAAAGAACTGCCAGACAGAACTTAGGAATGACCAGGGCCAATCATTACACACTGCACGGATGCTGTGGCTCTTGGTCCCCTTTTCTCCTGTCCATCTTTCAGAGACCTCCCCTTCCTCTCTTGGCTGCCTTCATTCCTTCCATCATTTATTCAGTTAAGTAACAACTGTTTGTTGTGCCTTTGTTAACTGCCTGGCTTCCAGGGCAAGCAGTGATCCCACTCCATGGATGTGAAAGTTCAGAAAAGCATTTAGAGTCATACAGCTAAAATAAGTAGTGGCTGATGTTAGGATAAAATCAGAAAGTTTGAAAATACCAGCTCTACTGAGTCTATTTTCCAAAAGGCACTTCTGAAGATTTTGAGGTTAATTGTTAATTTCCTAGTGTGATGCCTAGTTTCCAGTTCCTNCTGCACTCTGTGCTTTAACATCCAAAGGGATGACAAGAAGCAAGCTAAAGTTTGAGATCTTTTGTCCTGTGACTTCACTCGTTTCTTCGGGAGTCCTCAGGATGCCTGCTCTGGCCCAACACCACGCTAGCACCAGGGAATACAAAGAAGGCCCTTTGTCTCAAGAGCAGGTAAGTAAAGAATTGCCAACACCTTGTGAAAAGGGAGGGTCCCAATTTGTCCCTCTGATTTAGCAGCTTGAACAGCAGCTCCTCCATGCCTCACAAGCACCGGAAGACCGAGCACAGGGCCAGGTAGGCCACTCCCGTGACGGCACACCTAAATGACTCTGCTCCCATGGGTTTGTCCAATGGAAGAAAGGCACACTGTCACTCTATTCACACACATTTCCTCCTTGCAGAGAGTTAACTTTGGCTTAAAACCACACACGATGGCTTTCTTAATGATCACAGCTTACCTAACTTGCAAAGAGAGTTCCCAGAGCTATTTTTTCAGAATCTGTGCAGAGGCTGCTGCTTAAAGATTCATTTGTGGTTATCCAACCTTGGGCACTGGGATAAAGAAAGATGAAGAGGCTTTAGCTTGAGGGTGGGGGTGTTACCTGCAGATGGATTTTTTCTCTTTCTCGGCCATACTGAGGTCCGGAGTATAGACACTGAGTATACTTGTAAATCAAAAAATAACTTTTCTCTAGTCATCAGGCCCCAGCTGGGACAGTATTCTGATTTACTGAGTATATCTCCTCTAAGTAAGATAAAGCAGAAAAAACAACTGTGGCTAGACAACCTCTCTTTTATAGGGGTTTTAGAAGAAAGCATCTGATGAGAAATAAGCAACCCTCACTTCTAGTACAGTGACTCTGTGGGGGATGCTGGGTGTTCCCAGGAGGTGGTTTGGAGGGGTTGGTAGTGGCCCAGAAAAGCCCACTGTGGGGCCACCAAGCTGTCATCCATCTCATCAAAACATCACACTGAGATGGAACTCTTCTCCTTCCTGAGCCAAGAAAGATGACCCAGCAGCTGAGCCACCTCAGCCCAGGAGCAGCCACCCACGCACACACCTAAGCTTCACTCACCCACAGCGTGTCTGGGCCTTGCACATCTTCTACCCTGGGACCAGGCATGGGCCAGTGATGGAGTGGGTGGTGCCATCTCTGGGTTTGCCTTTTATCCTCATACCTAACAAGTTTTTCTCTCTTTTCTACTTAGGACCAGTATTGAAAAATCTGCTTCAAAGCAAGGATGGTGCTAGCATTTGGGTAGAACAATTCTTCCCTGTGGTTCTTTAGTATGCCTGGCCCCAGCCCTCTAGATGCTGGTAGAGTCCCTCAGTCACATTTGCAAGTGCTGCAGGGTGGCCCCACCCTTGGTTGAGCCCTGCTGAGTCTGCCGCAGGTGGGACTTGGAATCAGCTGTGAAAGTAGACGTCATTCTGCACCAGGCCAAACATCTATTTATGTTTTCAATATAATCACTAAAGAGATGAATGGCATCTTGAAGGTAAAGCTCATGAGATGTGCCTCCACTCCAAGATTCAGAATCAGAAACTAAATGTATACAGCATTGCCCTGCTGGAGTCTTCCTGCGTTGATGAACAATGGGCTTTCTCTTATGACTCCAGGGAAAACAAAAGTTGAGGGGCCACCGAGTCTGAGTAGAGGACAACTCTTAAACCATTTAAGGACTGCATGTCTCTAATTCTAATCAGGGTGGTAACAGAATTAAAAGCTGGAGGAGGGGCTGGCGTGTGCACAGAGATACCAAAATGTTCGCCTTCTGTTTGAATGCCCTGTCCTCTAAACAGTATCTCATCATTTAGAACACAAGCAGCCAGGAGCTTCCTAAATTTCAAAACCGTCCTCCGGGAACCAATCAGCATATACAAGGAAAGATACAGCTCCACTCACCCCAGTCCTGTAATTCTGAATGTAAAAGTAGGAGCAATGATACACATGGGAAGACTGAATCGCTGCCTAAATGCCGTGTGGTCTGAACGTCTCCCAAGGGTTCCTATTAAAAAATGCATCCTCCACTGACCGTCACTGAACAACCTCACAATAGGAATTATCCCCTAATCACAGTTAAAATGCAGATGGAGTATCTGGGAGGAGAATCACATTAATTCACGAATATGTCGACTCCCTTTCACTCATTTTCCCATTAGCATCAGTTCATTTAGTGCATTATTTTAAGACAGGCTGCTAGAAAGGTCCATTTCAATGCTAGAGGAAATGGGAATAGGAGACCTGGGAGGCAGGCTGGAGTGAGGTTCGTGGCCAGGGGGGTGGTGAGGGTGCTGCCATCAGGGAGAGAGGTGGGACATGGGCCAGGGGGGCCTCCTAACTCCACAGTTGGCCTGAGGAAGGTCCCAAGGAGGGAGTCACTGAAGACAGACACTCTAGCCTGAGAAAGGAAGGCTAACTGATCACCATGGTCAAGAGTGAACAGGTCACTGGAAAGAGAAGAGGACCAGATATTCTCCAAGTAGATGGAGGCCAGAGCAGGAGGGGGCGGGTCTGAGGGACCCTGCAGCGCAAGCCTCTCTGCACTGAACAGTTGGGAGGTCCTGGGGCCAGCCACTGAAAATGGTCCAATCTTATCTACAGCTGGGAGAGCAGGGCCACCAGAGTTCTTAAATCCTACAAACGGCCTCTATAAATCCCCACGTTCAGTTATATCCTTAAAATCACATGAATGTCCACCTGCATTTCCCAACTGTATTTTAACTGCCTTGTTTCTAGGCCTAACTTCTGTGCTTTATACTATCCTTGCAGTGGATGTAGATAGGGTCCATGCTAAGCACTTGCAGAATTCATGTGATTTTTTTCTTAAATCACAAGACCTGAAAGAAATTTTGCACTAGCAGTTGGCAGCTTCAGATCATGGCCCAGACACTCAGAAGTGTCTCTTCACAGTCCTCAGCCTTCAGGGGGTTCTTCAGTGGACAATTTTGAGAAGGCCTGCAAGGCTTCAAGAGTCCAACCCCATTTCCTGGGCCTCAGCTCAGCCCTTGCTCAGTGCTGGATGCCTCCAGGCCTAGAGTGCCCTTCCTTTCTTCCCTTCTCAGTTCTAACCTTGAGAGCCCACTGAAGCCCACCACCCCACAGGAAGCCCCCTTTAATTGCCTCAGCCCCTGGCGTGCTCACCTCCTCCACACTCCTGCAGCTCCTTATTCTCACCACATACTTGATTTCACAGAACTTATTTGTATTACCATTTGTCTGTTCACATGTGAGTCTAAGGGGAGAGCCCCTTACCAACGTCTTATACAGTCATTCAGTCAGTTTGGCTGGTAACTCATTCCTACCTAGTTACACAGAAGTCAAAAACATGCAAAGCCAAACAGACTTACTGGGCTAGGGTTTTAAAAACTGTAAACACAGGTTTAAAATATAATATTAAAGTAATAACTGCCCCTCCTCTCTTAAATAAAATATTCAATGGCATAATCCCAGTACTTCAGTCATGTTGCTCAATTTTGTTCTTTTCCTTCACAACTGAACATACCATCAACTGGCTTAACTCCAATGAGCAGCTAATTGAGGCTAGGGATGGCTCGCTGTCAGCTGAACTGCTAATTTCTGTGTTGTCACAGTTGTAAGAAGTTAATGAGATTCACATATCCTATTGTTTGAATCAGCACTTTCATTTTTCTGTCTTTACTTATGGCAAAGTGCCACAAAATATTTAAATGTTCACACACACACACACACACACACACACACACACACACACAGTGGTGCAAGGATGGCGCCACACCCCTGAAACTGAACAAAAGGGGGACAGGCACCATGCAGTTGCTCAAGAGCATGGGTTCTTCAGCTTATGTAGCATAGCCCAAATCTGGGGAGTGTAAGAGGAGGGTTTTTCCTGGTGGAGGGGATGGATGTATAACGCACAAAAGTTTCCATTTTATGGTGGTCAAGGATTGTTTCAACGACTCTCCTCACCCCAACCCCCTGCAGGGAGCAAGGCCTTAAATGCCAACAAGGACAGCTCAGCTTTGCGGAACAATTTTCCATGCCCCAGACCATGGCTTGTGGCAAACCGATCTGTAGTCACACAGACAGCAAGGGACTCCAGCAGGACGAGACGCTTTTCCTTACCTGCCGTGCCTCTGTATTGCCCGACCGTGAGCTTGTACCTCTCCTTACTGGAGGCCACTTGGAAGAAATCATATATGGCATAGGCGGATTCGTTGGCAGTCTGCAAGTCCACTCTCACCTCATACCGGGCAGGAGAGCCAGTGGTGAGGCTGTGTAGCTTGTCAAGTCCTAAAAGTAGGGAATAGATTTCCAGCAGCCAGTTAGCCGACACGTGGGAGTGCTCACCACCGGCACACGAGCCTTTCAGCCCCGCAGTCACCCTAGCCTTCACCTCCACGGCCAGCAGGAGCCCTCCCCACATTGCCTCTTTCGCCTGCTCATTTTCTCCTCTTATTTTCCTTGAGCACAGTCGTGCTAACGAGTCTGGGAACCATGTCCTCTGGGAGGGAGTAGTCGGGGTGACCCTGGGATGAACGTGGCCCCATTGACTCCCCCCCTCTGAAGCCTGGGCAGCTCTATTCAGGGCCCGTTTGTCTCACCACGTGGGGGGAGGCCCCACACCTCACTCTAAGGTCTCCGAAGAGCTTTGGTACCACGTGAACCACAAGCATCTTCTACTCTATCAGACAGTGAGCATCCCTGTTATGATTTTTTAATGCTTCATTTCCCAATTGATGTATTTGGCTTTTTCACTCTCTGTGAATTTCTGCTCAGAATAGAGCAGAAGGAAAAGGAAAAAAGTAATGACGGGCATTACTAGCAGAATTTAGGGACTATTTCTATAACCTCCCAACAACAACCCAAATCCCAACTGAGCAACTATTTTTGTCTTCTGCTTTCTGAGAAGCTCGGCCCCAGGCAGCTGTTATGGGGCTTGGACGCAGCATAAAGAGCAGCTGTGGCAGGCTGGCCCCTCCCAAGCGTGGAGCACATGAAGGCCTCCCAGCCACGTGCCCCACCCACACACTGCTCGGTGGGTTGCTTGGTGTGCCCCTGCCACTTGGACCTCACCCTGAGTGCGGTGAGCTTCCCTGAGCAGCCTGACCAGCTTTCTGAGGGAGACATCTCCCCTCCACAATCAGCCCTCCTGGATTCTCAGGGATCATACCGAGCCAGAACTCCTTCATAGGGTCCCCGAAGCCTTCCACGTAGGTCCGCCAACGCTTGAAGAAATCCAACTGCCCCGTGTTCCGCCGCTGGAAGACCTGACGAGAGAGAGGGCTGTCTGGCGCCGACACACTTGAACAGACATGACTGAGGGAAGGAGGCTGGCAGCAGGGCCTGGAGGCTGCCATGACGGGAGACAGAAGGTAAATCTGGCAGATGCGGTGACACCTTGACAGTGGAACCAGGAGAGAAGGAAGCCAAGGAAGATTCTTGGGGCACCAGATGCAATTCTGAGATGGGGGCTTTCAGAGAGGACAGGTTATGTGAATGCACGTGAGCTCACTGGGGACACGGTTAGTGTGAGTCACTCCTGAGTAGCCTGGTGAATGAAGATGCCATCAGAGAGGCAGGATGTAAGAGCTCGAGTTCTAAAGAGACTTAGGCCACACCTATGAAGGTGAGGGCGTGTCTGAGATGATGGTAGGTGTTCACCAAGGCCCATTCCACACTCCCCGGGCACACAGGAAGGCTTCCTTTTCCATCCTCCCTGCAGTTAAGCTGCAGCCACGTGACTCGTTCCCGCCATAGGACTGTAATGGGGAGCACAGGACGGGGGCTCTCCGTGCTTTCCTCCATGGCACACACCACGGTGCATTGGTGATGGCTCTGTGCAGCCAAGGCAGAGCCGCACGTCGGAATCAGCCTGCACCACTGAGTCACCACTTAGAAGGGACTGCCAGAGACAACTTTGCCACAGGAAACATGGTTTATGTTTTCATACCGTGGAATTTGGTGTTGAAATTTGGTGTAGAGGAATACAGCCCATAGAAAGACACCAGGACAGAGAGAGGAAAATAAAGCCATTGGAAAAGGATGAGACGACCTTGGAAGAAAACAGACAATGAAAAGAGAAAATGGCCTAGAATCAAGCCTTGAGGACCTCCAGTATAAACCAGCCACATGGGGACGGGGTCCAGCAAGGAGCAAGCAGAGACATAGAAGGATGGTAGGAAAACGTGCAATCACCAAGAGCACGAGGAGGAAGGGGCAGTCAAGGGGGGAGATGCTGAGGAGAGGCTGAGGAACGTGTCTATCCCGTCCGTAGGCATTAGTGACATGGAAGTCAGTGGTGACCTCGGCCAAGGCTGTGTGACTGAGAGATGAGGGCAGGAGCCTCAGTGCAAGGGGTGGACGAGTGAGACCTGAGGACACGGAGGCCGAGCTGCATACTGTATCATGGGAGTATGTGTGGTTTTACTTTCAAAAGGTCCTCTATTTGGGGAAGGAAAGCAGCTCCAGTCAGAATAAACTGGCTTCTTTTACACAAAGTAAGCCTAAAACATACCCAAAAACTAAGCACTCAGAGTTTACAATTAGAAATGACACTGCATATAATTCCTCATGACTCTGAGAGCCATGCTAAACAAACAACATCTCATCTAACCTCAGAAAGGAGTCCGGAGTTCTGGAAGGCAGGAATCACACCCTTTTCTCTACCTACTTCCCTTTTTATTCATTCAACCATAGAAGCCCCAACACAAAATCCATCTCCCTTCTTTCCATCATGCTTCATAGCATGTACTATAAGTAAAATACACTATCTTGAGTTTGGTAAGATAAATCTCCTAATATTTGTGCACCCTTTACATTTTTCTCTGGGGAAAGAGCAGGCTGCCTGCAACAATGCTGGAAGCTCTGTGTGGGAGCTCACATTTAACTCCTTCTGAAGCACCATCCTTGTTTGCTGGCCCACTAAGGCATCAGTGTGCAGGGGAAGCCCTAAGCTCTCAGGCAGAGTGTGGCCACCTCCTGGCAGGGGGTTGGTGAGCCCATCATTTCTATGACTGAGCCTGAGTCAGTTCACTGACAAACAGGGTTAGAAGCAGGAAGGAAGTGCCTGCCTCCGAGGTGCTGGGAGAACTAAGCAAGATGGTGCGTGTACAGGTGGGGCAGGAGGGGTAATGGCAAAGAACTGCCAGACAGAACTTAGGAATGACCAGGGCCAATCATTACACACTGCACGGATGCTGTGGCTCTTGGTCCCCTTTTCTCCTGTCCATCTTTCAGAGACCTCCCCTTCCTCTCTTGGCTGCCTTCATTCCTTCCATCATTTATTCAGTTAAGTAACAACTGTTTGTTGTGCCTTTGTTAACTGCCTGGCTTCCAGGGCAAGCAGTGATCCCACTCCATGGATGTGAAAGTTCAGAAAAGCATTCAGAGTCATACAGCTAAAATAAGTAGTGGCTGATGTTAGGATAAAATCAGAAAGTTTGAAAATACCAGCTCTACTGAGTCTATTTTCCAAAAGGCACTTCTGAAGATTTTGAGGTTAATTGTTAATTTCCTAGTGTGATGCCTAGTTTCCAGTTCCTTCCGTGGGACCATTCCTGTATCACAGACAGTGGAATCCTAAGGCAGATGTGTGTTTGGTTCCATGTACATAGAGTCAAATTATGTTTCCACATGCGTAATTAGTTATCTTAAAAGTCCGGCTCCGATCCAGTCCTGCCGGTCTAGGACAGATGCGTTGCAAAGGCATTATTCAGTCAGTGAACATGTTGCCCAAGGACGACAGGAGCTTTCCAACTGATTTTTTTTTTTTGTAATAATGCTTCAGCTTGGCTAGGAAAAATATTTTTAAAAAATGGTTCTGATACTCTGCATCACTCTTTAGATCCAACTTTACAATTACTAGTTGTGTCCTTGGGCAAGTTTGCTAACCTTGACAAGCCTCACTTCTGTAAATTATTAGATCAAGGTGTTAATAGTCCATTTGTCATGCTCTTAAATCAAGGCTTCAGCAAGATCATTAATCATGATAAATCATAAAGGATTGAGGCCAGAGTCTGGCACATACAGATATAATAAGTTATAATTATATCTCAATGAATGTTAGTTTGCATTTTATTATGTCAGATTCCAAATGAACTGACCCACAGGGATCATTTGTACATCTTGATCAGGCAGCCTTAATTGACTCATTCAGAATCTAGTCCATTTCCATTCTATGAGATAGAAACACTTTATAATGAACCATTTGAGATAACAGAAGCCCCTAAGCAAATAAATCTCAAAGGGAAAAAAATAATCTCTTTCTGTCTGGCTTTATACTACAGAGCTGTCATTGTACTCTAGAATTTACTTGATGCCATGAATGATTAAATAAGGAGAAAAAAATGAAAATCTCATTTTAATGTCTTGGAGAGAGCTCAAATGTAGTCCTTAAAACTCGTAAGATGGAAAACAAAGACGGAAATATTTGAGATGCTCAAATGTTCCCTGATCGTCCTCATTCCGGACTCCCACCCACAGGCATGGCCTCAGTTACCTTAGGACAGAGTTCTTCTGGCCTGTTAATCAAATTGTATTCTTGCTACCTGGGTTGGAGAAGAATTTCCTTAAAAGGATTTTAGAAGCTC